ACAGCTTTTTGTAGGAAAAATGCATTTGGTCTTCACTGTGTGCATTTTCTTCATATTCACAGAAAGTACTGTGGTCAGAGTGAGTATTCACTATATTTCTTTTTTCTACACTGAGTAAAATCAGGAAGTGTTATTAGCCTTGTCTTAGTGAGGGGAACTGAGTCACACAGATTATACAGTGCATATCAAAAGTTTGTAGCAAGGAAGGGAATAATGGTCTGACAATTCAAGCTACTGCCATAATCACTGGATTTCTATCAACCCCATAATTATTCCAAGTATCTGTTCTGTAGTCTCAGTTTTATTCCTTTGTCCAGCTCAGCTGGCAAGAGCTGATACCACCAGATGCTATTTCTCTCTAAAATGAAGATAATTCTAGACAGACAAAAGAGTAGACAAATGCAATACTGCTTTAGTTAGGAAATTAAATAAACTAGTGATCTACAATGTTTCCCTAGGTTGTTCCCATTGAATATTTGAGTTACCACACTGTTGTACTGTATCTGCTCTTTTACACAAACTACTGTGTCTGGAGACTTGGTGTCTGTGTTCCTAAAGCACATAGGGACCTATCAGTAGGGAAGTAAAATATGTGAATTACAAGAGTGCGTGCACTGGCGTCTCTCTACCTTTATGTGCAAGACCACTATCAGAAATTCATCTGAGCATGAACTGACATTACAGTTAAACACACTCTGGGAAAAGGCTTTAAAAAAACCCAACAAACTTACATATTGCTCCAGTGGTAATAACACTCTACTGATTCTATGTTTTTAAAGTTTCTTTAAACTCTATATACCATTGGTTAACTAAATGCTGATATCATAAAACAGCCATACTACAATATTGAATTATGTTCATACTTACGGTAGTACAAGAAGAATTTTTCAACCTAAATTAAAGGAATACAGACACTGTTGTCATAGAAACACAGACTGTTGTACAACAGGTATTTTGCTGCTACTATTTAAAAGGCAGTACACCAACAGCAAATTTAAAGTCTCACGGTTACTTGAAATGAAACACTATTTCCAAAACAGTCCACAGTTTCTGGCATCAGCTTTTTACTAAGGCTGAAAATGCAAAAGATTGACAATACTAGCATTATAGCTTGGGATTCAAAGAAAAAGGAAAATCTGCAATTTTGCTAGTCAAATATACAAATCTGATGTTAGCTCAGTCAGTACAGATCAAGTTACATTACTTGTCCTGGAAAGAAACACTCTTTTGGGAAGAATAACAATTCTTTCAGTCAATCTTCACAAGTTGGGCCCAAGAGAAGGAACTAAAAATAGCAAGATAAGACTGACAGCAGTAGTTAAGTTTCTAACATAACAATGGGAAAGGCCAGTCTGACTCATCAGCAAAGAAAAGATAACTGGAAATGGGAGATTAAAAGGCTCAGTACTCAGTCCCGCACAATTCCCAGACCTCCCAGTAACTCAGTCTGAACAAAGATGGGCACAGTCTGAAAAGATGGGCTCAGGAGGGAGGTTCCTAGGATAAGAACAAATAGCCTTAGTCTTTGCTTAAAGAGAAAGTGGACCAAACAGGACAAATATCCACTTGTAAAAACAAAAACAAACCCAAGAAACTTAAACTCAAACTGCAGTAAAAACCTCAAAGGACTGTATCTTATCAAAAGAAGGACACTAGTGTCAGCTGCAATTGTTTCATGGTCTTCAATAATCAGGAGGTCTGAGATGGCCAAAAGAAGGTTTAACTCATTTGGTCTGTTCTCTCTAGAAGCCTATCTGGGTTCCCTCTGGGAATACTGCTGTCCTGGCAGGAAGCTATAGACTGGGACAGGTTCAGGAATTTTTTAAAATGGTAGGAAAAAACAGACTAGGAGAGGCTCCATTTTCCAGGCCCATCAGTGGGAAATATTTAGTTAGGATATTTTTCTGATAACAGCAGAAGACATCGACATGGAACATTTATATTGTTTTTGTTCTCCTCCTAGATCTTTATGGCATCCAGTTGCAGCCTAAACCAGAGAATGACACTGCTACATCTGGACAAACTGTACATGATTGGAAAATGTGGCTTTGAGAAACCTTTCAAGAGCTTTACAAAACCTGAAAACTGCTTGTGTGGCACACAGAACTGTGCCAAAATTGGAGCGGTAACAGAACAAATACATTTTATGCTCTTAAAATGGGCAAATGCTGCAAAAACTGAATAAAAATATTAAATGAGAAATTACCATAAAACAGAAGAATTTTCCTTGTCTATGGAACAGGAGATCCGAAGCTGATTTTGTGCCTGAGCACTTGTCCTAACTAACTGAATTAAAACAAATAGTCATAATAGGCCTATTTATTAGCACAGTATAAAGAACACTGACTAAAGTCCTAAGTGCAGGTGTATCAGCAACTGGAAGTTATAACCAGTTGTTACAAAACTTTCTAGGTAGCTCTATTTATATGGGAAAAAAAGTCCAATATTGTTCAGTAGTTCTCTTCTGCTTTTACACACATCCTCTTTCACATTGTCTCCTGGAAAATACAGGCAAACATTACTTTATAATGTAAATCTTTACTTAATGGCAGCTTTTAAGTCTTCTGTCAAAAACACATCCTTAAGCAAATGGAATACATAGGCTATGAATCTTAGCCAAATTGAAAGCGAAGACTGAAATCTACAGATACTCAACATTTAAATAGAAAATAAAACCAGTTGTATTCATTGGAAGGGATTTGTTGAATCCATTAAATATTAGGTATTTTTACTGAAAAAATAACTTGGCTTCTCTAAGCATGCAAATATCTGTGGGAGATACAGTGTATTTCCCGCCCTTCTTACCAAAGGAACAAGTACCTTGGTTCCCATTAAATCGTTTTCTCAAAGGTATCCTATTCTTTGTGCTTACAGTCCTTTTCTGAGTACCTGTGTAAAGAAGGAAATAACCAGCTGGGATTAAATATGGTATTATTACCTGAACCACTGTACTGAGTACAGCCCAAGAGCTACTCACCAAGGCCAACGCTTGAAAAGGGAGTGCAAGGAAGGGGATGAAATCTTTCTCTGGAGTATCCTCCCAGCCTCTCCTAATCAGCACATCGGAGAAGTCCTGCATTGAATACTGTTTCTTAACCATTGCGGTTGACAGTCAGAGATACAGCTCTTCCACAGAGCTGCCTAATCCTTCTTTATGAATATGTCTTTAATTACTGGCCTCTTCTGGTGACAAATTCCACACTTTAAGGACGCTCATTTAGCAGAAGGTACAACATTCTATTTCAGTTGCCTCTTTTTCCAAGCTGAAGAGTTTCAGTCAACACAGCTAACAGCATCATGGTCTTCTGACTCTGTTTTGAGTCCTTTCTAATCCTCTGTACCTTTTTTTTTTTTTTTTTTTTTTTGTATTATAAAGCATTTGTGCTGTGTTCAAAATGTACCATATAGGTTAATTCTCTAATGACATAGTTGTTTTGTTCATTTCCTTCCAATCAATAACCTGTGTGGCTTTCTGGCTGCTGTTAGGCATTTACAACAATGTCTTCTCTGTCAATGAATTCAATGTCAAATGTGGTTAATACGTTGCTTTGCAGGGTCCAGTGTATACCCTTCCATAGTGAACCTCTCTGACACCAAGTATCACAAGATCTTTCTCATTCCCCATGCAGCTAGACAAAACTCCAACCACAGTGGATGATTCTGTAGTATCAGGAAGCTTGTTATTAACCTCCCTGCTCCACTCCATTTTGAGGTAATTTTTAATGTCAGATGAGCACCATGGGCCTCACCAGGGATTGTTTTGGAAAACTTCTGCTAACACAAGAACCTGATGATCTGTCCCTACATCACATTTTTGATCCCTGACTTGGTCACTCTGCCAGGCATCTTGGATTTTAAAAGTAAAAAACTTCTTGAAAGCTTCACCACATTATGCTAACCCTGGGACAAACGAAGGCCCAAATCTCTCTCTCTCTCTCAACATGTTCCACAGCTTTTTTTAGACACAAGGGTGTTTTTTAAACCCCAGCTCAGTTAAAGCGAGCTAAAAGGTGCCCTTCTCCCCCCCATATTCTTTCCACCCATCACACTTTTCCAATAGGGTTTTAAAAATCATTAACTGTGGCAAGAGGAAACCTCCCTGTAGACAGCACATAGTGCTACTGACCAACTTCTGAGGGTTCAGGACAAAATCTTCCGGTCATCGCACAGGTGAGAATGAAGATTTCCTCTTTCTGCACCTTCTACAAAGTCTCACTGTCCATCGTTTCAGTTCAAAAAACCCCTCCCAAAGCAACAAAGCCCCAAACTCACAACCACCACCACTAAAAAAACTCAGCAGAATAAGCGATCACGTTGCCTGTGATCTATAGACTGCTCACAGCCTTCTCACTGACCACTTGTCTCAGAACTCTCAGTGCTGGAAATGCTGCTTCTTCTGCTTGTGACAGAAGAAAAGGGAAATAATGTTAGCTGTTGCAGTGTTATGTTTGGCAAATTAAAAACTATTCAGGATATAAAACCCTCAAAAAGAAGGCATAAAATAATCGTATATCCTAGAGCAAATCCTTGTTACCCTACAATGAGCTTGTATTGTGGAAACTGTCATGTCTCAGATGATGCTCTACTAAAAGAGCATGGTGTTGACTTCAAAATGCAAGCTAGTATGTGATTGTAACCAGGTGAACAGATCTTTGGTGTTATTTTGTTAATTTTACAAAATATATTTTAATTCCCACACTTCAGTGATAATCAAGCCTCACGCTGCACCAGTGTTTTCTAAGATTTAAACATATAAAAAGACTTTCTTGTCTTCTAAAACAAATTCTTCCAAATTCCCATTTAATTTCAGTGCCATACTGTCACTCTTACATTATCATAACTGGTTTCCTGGATTAAAGGTACTATTTTCAAGTAGCATTCATGAAGACAGATTCTTTTCTCTTCCTTGGCTTTCTTTCACCTCCCCCATTATTTGTAATAACGGACCTGACAAGCTAGCAAACCTAACCTGGGATTTTGAGGGGGAGATTAGGGTGATGTTTTGTTTTTTTTTTTCCACACCTCCTGAAAGGTGGTACTTGTATGAATCAGATTTATTTTTAGCTTCTCAGCAACAGAGAGATGCCAATTCCTGTTTGTTTCTGTCAGTGCTTTAAATACTTTTGGCTTTTCACTGTAAAGTAATTCCCACATCTTTATTACACAGTCACCTTATGCCCTTCGTGGAAGCCTGCCTGCACTCATCTACAGCACTTGCATCCAGTTTAGTTTAGAAACAGGTTTGTTCCCTCAATCTGTCAGTTTTAAAGTTCATGTTTAAGGACTTAAAAAAAAAAAAATAACAACACTGACACCACTAGCTCAAAGAGTAGAGGATATCAAAGAGAATTTTGTACTTCCAATTCACACAAGGACATTTACTCCAGAATGTTTTCATAACAAAACTAAAATTGCAATGTAACTTTTAAGGTTTGAGCTTCTAAAATGAGAACATGCTATTTATTATTTGCAGAATAAATGATTGATAGTCCTAAGACACAGTAAGCCCACCTTTCTGGTAAGCATAATTTTTTTCAGAAATTGTTGCATGTGATATGTTTATGGAAATAGATTGGTAAATTCTACACAGAGGAGTAGAACTTTTCCACCTCCTGATACATTTTGGATTGACGCAGCAGCAGCTCTTACACAGTGACTTTCAATCTGGGACACATCTTTATTTCCAACCAAGATGAAAAAATGCTCTCTCAAAAATAAAGCAGGTGACAAGATACAGAAATTACTCCTTTAAAATATCATAGAACACATTTTTTCACAGGATAAACAGAGGGTACAGTTTCAGCTTGTTACTTTCAGTACTCACAGTAAAATACTTTTTCAAATAACCTAAGTGCAGCTTAGAGCCATCAAGTGCCGGTTGACATTGTTCTACAGAAATGCAGAATTCCAAATGCCAGATGAGTTACTCTTTCTGTGTTTGGACTTGCTCAACCACTCGTGCACTACATCAGTGTTGACAGAGGTTTCTTGGAAAGCTTGAAGCTTCAGTTCAGTTTTCCTCTGTTCCAACTGAAGCTCTGTTTTAAAGAATAAATGCAAAGCTCCTGTGCTCTGGATCTGTGGGATAAGACACTGATCATCAGGATAGCTTGTATAGTGAAGATGCCACAATGCCCTTTAGGTTCAGGATATCCATGTTGTACGGTAAGACTGCCTCATTCAGACAGACTGTCCTGAATGTTTACAGTCACTTATATTTGTGGAGAAGGAACAGTGAGGAGACCAGTTGGCTTGATCTTGTTGATTCCTCCGTCTAGGATGCAGACCCTTGGGTACTTGTTTTTCACTAGATGAGCTGCAAACTGAAACAAATATATCATTAGCACACCACACATTATAGTCCTTAAATTGAAATAATTTTGTGTTAAGTAAGGTATATTAAAAAATTAAAAAAGAAAATTATTAGACCCTAGAAGCCCTTTCTTTGCACCAGCTAATGCAGCACAGGAGCCAAGGCCTGTCTGTTGAAACAGCTGGGGTGAATTTAGTGGTCATGAAAGTGTCACACTATTAATACTGAACTTCATTTATCTCTGCTTAGGCAGGATTTTACTTCATTCTAACAGGACTGTTTAACCTTCGAGCAACCACTGGAACCTCTCTCAAAGCATGAACTAACATATTTTTCCCTGTGTTAATCTAACTCTCAGCTGTTTTCTGTAGGTTCTCAAGTGTACAAGAATCAGAGTTTGATGGCACAGTCATTTTCCTACCTGTCAAACTTGGCTGATGTAATTTGACTTCACAAGATGTCAGACATGAATTTGGGGTCTAGCAACTGTACTCTTCCCTGTCCCCACCAATCCGCACACAGGCAGGTTGAATAGTGCAAGAACATATGCCCCCACCCTTGCAGGGGTGATGACCCTCTCTCAACTAGTAGTTCATTCCATAAACCAAACACAGCAGTTGCCAGTTTCCATGTAGTAACTTTGTGAAATGTTACCACAGTGATGAAGAAACCGTATTTTGTATATAAGAATAATTATGACAAGAAATATCAAAATTATGTATTAAAATAAAAAAAACAGAGGAACAATATTTTATTACGTGTCAAACTTGCCTTCTAGATACTGACTACAATGCATTAAAAAGCAAGCCACCAAAATAGATTAATCAGTGGGAAACCAAAAATTATTTGCAAAAGCTGTGAGAGACTGTCCTGCCCTTCCAGTCTTTGAGATTGCTCCTTTTTACTTGGTTGGCAAACTACTATCATCTGTAAAATCACTGAGTGCTTCCAAGTGGGCTATGTAAACACTTGTAATTCCCTTTTTGACTCTTTTAAAATAATTTGTGATGCTATTTGAGAACCTATTTGCAAATGGGATGTCCGAATAACTAACTTTCATGAACAACTGAATTACCAACTCAAGAACACCTGTAGGCACCCCAATTAAATTGAGTATATGGGATTTCTTTTTTTGTTTACATTTCTCCTAATTACCTGTTACAGTGTAACATATATTGAGGCAGAACACGATGTACTACATGACTATCTGATCCAGTACAAGTCCTGAAATAATCTCTTTAAAAATTAAGAGTTCATAGTAACAAAGTTTTAACCTTTCCTAGCCAGAACTTTTGCTTCACATTGAAGGTATTTTATATATGCAATGAACTTATTTCTGTCCGCTTATGTGTCTAGCTACTGCATTCCTTTCTCTGTGTTTAGGATGCATTTAACCAGGGAGAGACCAACTGTAACTGCTGAGGACTTATTGGGTCAGAGCAATAGGTCACAGCAGACATTTTGGCTGTTATGTTTGTTTCAGGTACTTGCCTAAGTAAGACCAAAAGGATCAATCAATCAATCAATCATCTCTTTCCCCATTATTTTGGGTCATTCAGTACTGGATTCAAAGATACAAATGAAAAAATCCCAACAATCAAACAATCAAAGCTAAGTAGTAGTTAAGTTAAACCGTATGTGGATGCCAGTTTTCATGAGCAAAGTAAATGCCATACTTTTAGAGAGGTTCTTGGCTGCAAAGGTGGTGTAATATACACAGAGATATCACTTGGAGAGCGCAAAACCTCTTGCTGTAATCACAGCCCAAGGATGTGGTGTACAGTAAAACAAAGATAATTCTCTTCGTCAAAAATAGCGCTCAGCTGTGCATACCATGAACTACAAAAATAGTTTATATTCCCAGTGAAATACTATCAGACATCTTTACTTCATGTGTACATATCTATCACCTCACAGTGCTCTCCACCTGTGACTAATGGATAGTGCTCTGTCTTGGACATCAATAGCTGGCAGAAATGAAAAATGGCAACAAGCATTCCAGCTGACAGGAAGCAGCATGTTATTTCCTGAGTACAATGTTCCATGTGTCAACAGAGAGGTTCCACTCTGACTACTGATAATCGTAAACTACTGATAATAAACTATAAACTCTGCTCCAAATGTTTGGATGCCCTATCCATAATATAACTACCATTCAATGTAATCTTAGAAGAAAATATGCAATCAAATGCTTTGTACTTAGGGTTTGAGCATTAAGGCCTGTGTCCCACTGTATTTTAGAACTGCTTTAGTAACAAGTATGTCTGGGAATAAATTTTCTTCACTGCACATGACAAGAAGTTACTTTTAAACCTTACGGTGTGGAATTTCTCGCTTCTTTCAGGGCCTCTGTGAAGCAAGCACTGAAAAATCTGTGGCTGATATACCACAAGACGAACTGCCTTTTTATTTTTTTTGTCACAGAACTGTTTGCTGTTGTCTACCTGGTTTCAGTGAGAAAGGCTGCAAACACAGTTAAGAATATTGCATCTGAACATCCAGTCAGGGAAAACCCATTGAGCAGGAAAGGTACTACTATTGGCTTCTCATTACTGTGGGAATTAGCTGCAAGTTGGGGGCCTAGAGGCATACACATTGACATAAGTTGAGAGTTGCCATCAAACTCCAAATATCAGCCTCCAAGAGCTTTGCACATACATCTGTCCGTGCACTGCAAAGAAGAGTCCGGGTTTAACTCACACGGTAATAGGATTTGGTACAATTAAAGACATTGCCAGTTTTACCTTCTGCCTTCCCACACTGTGTCACTGAAAGTAGCAGTAGTTACTTTTGGTGAAGAGTAAATTTGGAAGAAGACTCTTACTAGCACTGTAGTCTTCCTTATTAAAGCTTTGACTTTTATAGTTCTGTTCCTCAGTACGTTTGTGCTTTCCTCTCCCAGACAGAGGAGCCCATCTGCCACAAACAAGTACAGGAACTTGTTCCCCATGTTTCTGAAATGTTCCAACACCACCTAGTATCCTTCCATGCCAAAATATACTGCATGAAGCTAGTATTTTCAAAACACATGGAATTGTTATTTCTGGCATGTGCACCGATGGAGAGACATGAGATGAAGGACTATTTGAAATAGCTGCATACATTACCTCCCCAATTTGACCTTAATTTATGTCAAACATCAGTATCTTGAATCCAAGGAATATAGAAAGATAAAACCCCCTGTTTCCTAAACATTTGAAAAAAAAAATTAAAATCAGTGATCCAAAAAGAACAAAATTTTATGTGTCAAAAATGCCCAAAGTGCTCTTCTGAAAGAATGTCACAGAGTTTCCACAGCAGAAACTACTATCTTGGACTGCATGTGTGGGCTCTCTTTCCGTTATGAACTCTGTCATAAAGTGTCAAGTTTACTAAGAGGCACCCGGATACGTAATTTGCAGTCTGCTAAACAACCTAATTTACAGAGTTGCTATTAAGACAGAAGATAACACGGTGAAGAGATAAGCAAATGGATTTTGTCGTCCTTAGTGACCTGTAAACCACCTACATTTTAAAGAGAGATTTACTGAAACATAAAACTAGTGCACAATTAAATTTCCATTACACAGAAATATATTCCTACAAATAGAAATAACCTGTCATTTGTAAGATGATTATACTTTCTTAAATTTATCGAATGTTTGTGCTGATGTAACTTTTGGGATACGTCAGCTTCCCCATGCCACCAATGGATCACATTCCTCTGTAATGCTTCTGTTTTCATTTAGACAACACTATGCCATAGGGAAATGGAGTTACGCCTATCTGAGGAAGAGGATTAAAGGGATGCTAGAAGACTTCAAGCTTTTTTCTTTCTGCCTCAGGTGCCCTTTCCTCAAAATGCACTTCCCAAACTCAGTTACCATGTTTTCACTGGGGGTATCTAGAGTTTAAACTGAATTTCCTCTTGCTACTTTCACAGGAAATCCTATATATTAAAGGATGAATATGTGAGCAACTTGTTTAATGACTACTATGTGATGTCTTTGGTGAAGACTATGGAAACACTGTTTCTCTATAAAGTAATGCATCAATCAATTCCACATAAAACCCCCTTCTTGGTGAGCATATCTGAGTCAGAAAATTGTAATCTGCATTTGAAAGCAGTCAGTTAAGACTCTTCATGCAGATACAAGAAGTCAGGCTTTCAAAACCAGACAAGATCATAGCAAATTATATCAACATTCAGGCAAATATTAAACATTTTATCCTGCATTGGTGTTGCTCTCAATACAAACAGCGTAACAGGACTGCTCCTTTAAGTACCATCAAGAACCTTAATAATCTGCACACTGGCACATTTATCATAATGTTTCTTCTGCCCTGTTCCAAGCAGTAAAATAACAGCTTTCAAGTGTGCTGAATGTATTATGCCAGGCATGTCACATTTTCACACTGTCTACAGCAGAGAGTCTAATAACACAACAGCTTGAGTAGCCCCATTCCCAGCACCCTTCAGGCTAGCCATGGGGGTTGCTATGTACACATTATTCACGTTCACAGACATTCCTGTGACAGGCTGTAATTAAAGGGCACGCTGGGAGGGAAGGAGGAGTAACATACTGCACCAGAATACCAAAAAAGACTGCTGTGACTAATGTTACCAGGGTATAAATATTAATAGCATCCTCTGAAAGAGTCAGAAGAAAAAGAGATACTTGAGAAGTTAGAGGAGAAATATCAACCAAATTCTGTAGTATTCATCCATTGCCACATGGTTATTTATAGTTTTTCACTTGTAAACTCATGCTACACAAACGTCTCCAGGACTGCAGTCTATTTGCTTTATGATTTCAGTCAAGAGTTCACCTTCACCTCTCTGAAATAACAGCACAGGCAAAGTGATCAGTTTAGAGCTTTTTAAACAGCACTCTCCATATGCCACAAAGCAGACCCAGCACACAAGATTATTTTTAGTCAGCTACTTCTGGTATTAAAGGGTTCCAGATAAATGAAATGACACTTTAATACTATGGGAAAGAGAGGAACCTAAAACTTCCCATATCAACA